GACAAAGACACAAATCACAGGCTTTTAGGGCAGCCAAACTTCTGTATGGCAGCCAAAGGACCAATATATGACTTTATATACTTGCTAAATCCAGTAGAAATTTACAGTTCACAGTGAACCTTAAGGTATGCATACTTAAAAATCATTTATGAAATCACTACCTCAAAGGAAAGAATGTATGTGTGCTCTGATAAGTTAATTTAGTAATGTTTAATTAATTGTGTTCTAAATATATGAAGAATATATATATTCCCTTGTTGGGAAGAGGGCCTGACTCAAGCATGCTTAGAACCCTGATTCAAGCATGTTTAGAAAGAAATGGCATGTATAAGATTAAAAGCAGAAGATATTTGAGCTGTAAATATGGGCCAGTCATTAAGAGCACCGCCTGCTCTTCCAAAGGACCTGGGTTCAATTCCCAGGACCTACATGACAGGTCACAACTGTCTGTAACTCCAGTGCTAGAAGATATGATGTCCTGTTTTGGCTTTTATGAACACCAGGTACACATGTGGTATATAGACATATGTTCAGACAAAATACCATACACATAAAAACAAATAAAATTGAGAAGAAAAGCCAAATAAGCAAAAACAGCCTGAACACATTCTCTCATTAATATGCTATTTCTCATTCACATACAAATTAACACACATGTGTATTTACTACTGTTTTGTGTCCATGTATCAGCAGCATTCATGTACATGTAGATGTATCTGTGTTTCAGAGACTTTCACTGTACTTCCAGAACGCATTTATTGAAATATTTGCCGTGTACTACATCTCTGTACACATTAACCAATGGAGATACACTACATCAAGACACAGCCTGTGTCACCAGAGACCAGTGTGATTAAGCCATGAAAATAGCAGGTAAGGAGCTGAGCATTTGGGAAAACGGCAGAAATAAACATTTCTATGGTCTAAGAAGGTGGTATGCTGGCTAGTGTTTTGTCATCTTGACAGAAGCTAGAGTCACAAAGAAAGAGGGAAGCTCAACTGAGAAAACATCCCCACTAGTTTGGCACGTAGGCAAGCTTGTGGTGCCATTTCTTAAATTTGCTGTTGATACAGGAAGACCCAGGCCAGGGCAGGAAGTGCCACCCTTGGACAAGTAGTCAGGGTTCTAGAAGAAAGCTAGCCGAGCAGGCCTTGAGAATAAGCCCATCAGCAGCATTCATTCCTGGCTTTTGCTTCAGTTCCTACCTCCAGGTTCCTGCCTCAACTTTCCTGAGCAGTGGGTTACAAGGTGTAAGTTAAAATAAACCCTTTCGTCTCCAAGTTGGTTTTGCTCATGGTGTTTTGTCACAGCAATAGAAACCCTAAGTAAGATAGTAAACCCAGGTATCTGTCAGAAATAGAATTAGTTGATCTCTGCCCCAATATTAACTGTGGAGCTATGGAAATTTGATGGCTTCTAGGTGACTAGGAGTCAGTTTTCTTTAAGGGTGTGTTTTTTGGTAGGTAGACCACACTCCAATGGGTGGCCCCACAGTTAGAAGTATATGGACAGAGAATATGGGAATCCATGGACTAGTAAACGTGAAAGGAGAGGAGACATAGAACTGGGCAGGGAAAAAGGTGGGGGTGGATCTGCAACAAGTAGGAATGAATATGGTTAAAACACACTACATGGAATTCTCAAAGTATTGATAAAATGATCTAAAACAAACCAATGACTCACCATTTTATTGTCAGTTGTTGCCTCTGATATTTTCCCTATGTAGGTGAACACTTTAAGCAATTGATAGTTGCTGTAAGCAATTGATGGTTGGAGAGAGCTTTGCTGGGTAATCAGCTAGGGTAGTACATAACCAACAAGAACATTACTGTTGATGATTTTACTCTGAGATTTGAATGTCTGGGTATTAGAGTTATTTCCCATTCTGTTTCTGTGATATAAAAAAAGCTGTAGCATGAGTAATAAAAACCCAAAGACAGATATTGGGGTTCAAGCTGAAGATCTGAAAAGCAAAACAGCCAAGCCACTAGAGAAGTCTTACCTCTACCAAGGCTGGATGACTGCAGACTGAGGCCTGAGTCCCTTAGTACTGGGATTAAACACTTGAGCAACCACCATCTGGATCTACTTCTGCATTGATCCTGTATATCTTGAACTCACAGATATCCATCTGCCTCTATCTCCCAAATCCTGGGATTAAAGGTGTGTGACATGACTGCCTGGCCTCTAGTGGTTTAGTTTTACCCTCTGATCTTCAGGTAGGCTTTACTTATTAAAGCATAAATAAAATATCATTATAAAAACAAATACACAACAACAAAACAAGCAAAACAGTAAGACCAAAAACAATTTAGGGAATAATTTTCAGCTTCATATGGAAAACAACAGCAACCAAAAAAAAAAAAAAAGCAAAAAAAACAAACACCTCAGTATAGCTGTAACACTTGTGAATGATAAAAGAACTTCTGGAGACATCACCATGCCTGACCTCAGCCTGTGCTGGAGAGCTATAGTAATAAACATTGCATGGTATTGGCATAAAAATGGACATGGTGATCAATGAATAGAATTGAAGACTTAGACATAACTCTACACACCTCTGAGAATCTGGGTTTTGTTAAATAAGTTGGAAGTACACACTGGAGAAAGACAGCGTTTGTCAACAAATACTGCTAGTCATATTAGATATAAACATGTAGAAGATTGCAAAGAGATCCATCTTTATCACTCTGAAAAAAGCTCAACTTCAAATGGATCAACCATTTCAACATAAAGTCAGAGACCCCAAGACTAATAGAAAAGGAAGTGGGGAACACCCTTGTGCTCATTGACATAGGAAAGATTTCCTGAACAGGACATTGATAACACAGGCACTAAGAAAAATAATTAATAAAAGGAACCTTATTAAAAGTAAAAGCTTCTATATGGCAAAAAACACCATCATTTAGACAAAGTTGTTGTAAGAGAACATTTATTTGTTCCCAGCTGCTAAGCCCCAAAATAACCACACAGAAGCTGTATTAATTAAATTACTGCTTGTCCCATTAGCTCTAGCTTTCTATTAGCTAACTCTTACATCTTAATTTAACCTATTTCTATTAATCTGTGTACCGCCATGTGGCTGTGGCTTACAGGCAAGTTTCCTATGCATGTCTGTTCCCAGTGGCAGGTTTATGGTGTCTCCTTGACTCCACCTTCTTTCTTCCAGCATTCAGTTTAGTTTACCCTGACTACCTCTATTCTGCCCTGCCAGGCCCAAGACAAATTCTTTAATACCCGATCATATTCACAGCATACAGTGGGGAATTTCCCATCACAAAGTGGCAGACTACAGAATGGGAAACGGTTTTACCAACTATAGCCAATAGAGTGGTAAACACACACACACACACACACACACACACACACACGTACACACACATATTAAAAACTAAAAGGGCATGTTTATGTTTATCAAGAAAGCAGATAACTCATTTAAATGGAGTACAAATCTAAATGGAATTCTCAAAAGTAGACATACAATTGGCCAACAGTCATCAAGGAAATGCAAATCAAAATTCTTTGAGATATCATCTTACACCAGTCAGAATGGCTAAGATCGATAAAATAAGAGAGAGCTCATACTGAAGGTGTGATATAAGGGAAGCATTCATACACTGCTGTTGGGAGTGCAAACTTGTACAGGCACTAAGGAAAAACAGTGTGGAGGATCTTCAGGAAGCTGGGAATAGGTCTACCTCAGGATATGGCTATACCACTCCTGGGAATATACCTAGAGGATTCTGATTCCTACAACAGAGACACTGATCAACCATGTTCAGCTGGATACAGCCTAGATGTCCATCAGCAGTTAAGTGGAAGAAGAAAATGGAATATTACTAAGTAGTTAAAAAGACCCTCAAATGGGGTAGAGATGACATTGTTCTGGGCGATCAGAAATCAGAGTGTCATATCCACATTTTGTTCAATTTTCTGGAGTTGTGGTCTTTCAGAATAAAAAAATTTAAGCTATCTATCATAACATTAAAACAAGAATCAAACTGCTATCATGCTTGACGTTGACAAAAAAAGAAAGAATAGGACCTTCAAATGATAAAATTTGCAGGGAAGTGAACAGAGCTAGAACAAAATCATCCTCAGATAGGTAAATCTGACCCAGACTGACAAATATGGTATGTTATTTGCTTATAGGTTGGTGTTAGCAGTTGTATATTTTTACATTATTTCTTTGCGTGTGAATGTATGTGTTTCTGTGTCTCTGTTTCTTTTTCTTTGGTTCTCTTTTCTGTTTCTTTGTTCCAATCCTGTTTTTTTTTGTTGTTGTTGTTATTGTTTCATTTGTCTTTTTAGATGCCTGCTTGTTTTCTTTTTTTCTTCTTTTAAACACTACCTGGTCCATTATCTGTAGCCCCGTATAGGCTAATTCTCACATCTTGCTTTAACCCATATTTAGTAATCTGTGTAGTACCACAAGGTGGTGGCTTGCCAGGAAAGATTCAGCATATCTGACCTGGCAGCTGGCTCCATGGCATCTGACTCACTTCATTTCTTCCCAGCATTCTGTTCTGTCTACTCCACACACCTATGTTCTGTCCTATCAGGCCAAGCAGTTTCTTTATTAATTAACCAATGAAAGCAAGAGATAAACAGATGACCCTCCTCCATCATTCTTGCCTAGTTTTGCTTGTACAAAGGAATTAATATCCTAAATTGGCCTGTCTTTTCTAACTGCTTATTTTGAAATAACTTTAAGTTGCCAGGATTATGAAACTAGTACAGGAGTTCTTTATGGTTAGTATGTCATCTCCCCATATTAAAAATTCCATGATAAACAGTTTACAGAGACTTTAACCATTACATAATTTAAAATACAATGATTAATTTTAACCATTTTAGTGGAATTCTTTTTTTTTAATTTTTATTTTTACTCAAAAACTTCCACCTCCTCCACTCCTCCCATTTCCCTCCCACTCCACACATCTCCCTCCCCCTCCCTCCCAGCTCAAAGAGCAGTCAGGGTTCCCTGCCCTGTGGGAAGTCCAAGGTCCTCCCTCCATCTAGGTCTAGGAAGCTGAGCATCCAAACATACTAGGCTCCCAAAGCCAGTACGTGCAGTAGGATCAAAACCCAGTGCCATTGTCCTTGGCTTCTCAGTCAGGCCTCCTTGTCTGACACGTTTAGGGAGACCGGTTTGATCAGATGTTCCATCAGTGCCAGTCCAGCTTGCTTTGGTGGGCACCCATTAGATCAGCTACACCAGGGAGCACTGGACTGAGCTCCCAAGGTCCAAATGAGGAGGGAGGACATGAGCAAGGAAGTCAGGACTGCGAGGTGTGCGCCCACCCACTGAGACGGTGGGGCTGATCTAATGGGAGTTCACCAATGCTTGTTTTCTTATCGGAGAAAGAAAAATATAGTGTGGATTTGGGTGGGCGAGGTGTGCGCCCACCCACTGAGACGGTGGGGCTGATCTAATGGGAGCTCACCAATGCTTGTTTTCTTATCGGAGAAAGAAAAATATAGTGTGGATTTGGGTGGGTGGGAAGATGGCGATTATCCGGGACTGGTTGAGAGAGGAGAAACTGTGATCAGAATACACCAAAAAATTATTTTCAATCAAAAATGCATGGTATATATACGACATAGACTAAAACATCAATTATACATGAAAGAAAAATCGCCATCTAAAAGTCCAAAAAATATATTATCATTGCCTACACAAAAACAATGCAGAGGCAACTGCTTTAACAATAGGTAAAGAAGGATGCTTAAAAAAATCCCACACTGGCTCAGAATTCAGAAATAGATGCTTATCTACTTAGGGGGTAGACTCACTAATTAGAATTCTCTGCTTGAAAGGAGAACAGCAACCAAATACCGCAGCCAGAAAAAGGGAGCAGAGGCATCCTCTACATTGGCTTATATAGTACAGGAGTCAACGCCCCAGTGGGCAGGTAACCACTGGCTGTAGGACTTCCTACACCAAATAGGAAATGGAATTCTCAGACTCAGTATTTCTACATCCTGTTGAAAACACAGATTTCATTGTACCATTTGTCATGTTTTTGCTTAATATCATCAAGGATGTGTTTCATTGAAGATCCCAACTCAACGATACCGGAAACCCCACTTTCATACTCACAAATGAAGCCAACAGTGTGCATGGCTATCAGTGACCCTTTAGAATCGAATACAGGAGATCCCGAAGACCCACAATAAAAAGTGTTATCCCAGGCAACCACACCAGGTTCATGGACTTTTTCCTGGAAACTTCTTTGGGTGTACATATAGATATACTGCAAAGGATCCCAGCTACCCACTGCTTCTCTTCCACGAATATCCTCACATTCCCTTCTTTGCTTGCCTTCAGGCATCACAGTACAACCATCAACAACCTTGTATTTTCCATCTGGATGACCAATCATAAACAGAAATCCACTAAGTGATTCAGAAGGTGTTCCATTACCGAGTCCTGTAGGGATGTGCTGTCCTCTTTCCTTCAGTTTCAGGACAGCATAGTCAAGAGTGACATCAGACACCTCAAACCAAGGTTCAACAAAATGATAGCTGTCTTCTTTGACAGGGAACACTTGAAAATCAAACGTCACTCTTATACACTGCCCAATTATATCTGCCCACTTACTTGGCTCTATGCCTTCCCCTACTACGTCATCTATTACATGTCGGCAAGTGAAAATGTACAGCCCTTTAAAAAGGAAGCAAGTAGCACTACCCCTGTTTCCATTGTTGTTCCAAACTATGAACCCAACTGAGTCACTGAGCTGGGAAAGAAGTTTGAGGACTTTACCTGGGATGGAGCTTTGGGTCAGCTTCCTGAAGTTTTCTCTATGTGCTTTGAGTAAGGAAGTGTTCTCTCTTTTCTCACTCTCTTCCTTGATGTATGTTCTCAGTTCTTCCCGTTCTCTTTTTAATGTGAGGTACAAATTCACAATGTATTCTTTTAATATCGTGAAGTTTCTGTCCTCTAACTCAGATTTCTGAGTTGCCACTGCCTTCCAAGGGCTCTTCTTTCTCTCAACATCAATCTGAAAGAGCTTACCCTCTAAGACATCAACTGGCTGGCTGTTTGCTACGATGGTGTCATTGGTAATAAGTTTCCAATGGTCACTCTCTACAAAAGAGAGAAACCTGCCATCCTTCCGCAGAGTGGTCTTGATGGTCTCTCCTTTGAAGCCATAGACACAGAGTTTGGTGCCCTCCTCGTGAAGTTCCCTGCACCTCAAAATTCTTTGCTCCCCATTCCCGACCGCATGAATGTAAAATACAACACACTCAACAGATGACTGGTCAAAGCGGCCACACACTTCATTGTCTTCTTTCTCCTCACTTTCAGTTTGGGAAAATGTAATGACCACATGGCTGCCTTGTGGAAAACAACGGAGGGGCATACCGAGGTTTATGTACCCTTCTATTCCTTCTTTGCCACACACCAGCATTTCTTTGCCTGCCTGCCTTTCTATCTCTCTTTTGACAAGGTCAAGGGTGTTCAGCGCCTCATATAAGCTATCTGTCCCCTTATCTGCTACCTCACAGACTGCATGGTTCACACCAAAGGTGATGGTAATTGTTGTATTTTGGAAAGAGTTCTGAACTCGTGGAGCTTTTTGATCGCAGTGTGATCTTTGGTCCTGGTTTTTGCCCAACTCCTTTGGTCTTTTTCTACATTCCATTTTCCTTTGAGAAATTATGGGATCATTCTGCTCCTTGGGGACCTAAAGAGAAATGATAGACACTTTAGAGAACTGTGACTACAATGGTATTCCTGTGATATTTTTGTACAGTATGTGCCATATTTTCTCAATAAGCAGGCAGAAAGAGCAGAACTCATCTAGATGTCTCAAAATCTACCAGTTCCAATAGAAAGCATTTTATTTATAATTTGTTTATTATTTTAAACAATAGATTAAAATTTTTAGACATGAAAATTGTTTAGAAATCTTTTGTAATTGCTTTATACATGCATGCACAGAACTGAGAGAAGAGTCTTACTGAATAACCATGGCTAATGTGGACCTAGATTTGTAGTCCAGGTTGGTCGCAAATTCACAATAGAAAGAACTGAGATACACTTTTGACTATTCACCAGAGACTCCTAAAAGCACCAAGAGTGTCTGGGAGAGTGCAGGCCTGAAGCGTGCTGTGCCACTCATGTGGAGGGCAAAGGACAGTAGTGAGGAGCCAGTTCTCTTCACACATTCCAGGCATCTAAAACAGGTGCTTAGGTCTGTACTTCAGGTGCTCTCATTTCTTCAGCCATGGCAGAGACCACAGATACTTTATCCAAGAGTTCTGTTTTGAGTGTTGAGACACTGTAGCCCAGACTGCCCTCAACGCATGATTCCCTTCCTTCTCTATTCAGAGTTCTGAGATTACAGGCATGTGCCATCATGCCTGTCCTGATACTTAAGAAAGAGAACAGGAGATTGTGTATGTGGATATTAGCTTGTTTATAACCACAAAGCTAGGTGTGGGGGGCGGCGGAAACAGATTTAACCTTTTCGTGGATATCTAGGTGTTTGGATCTTCTAGTTTCCTAGAACATGGAATAATGAAAGTGAGCTGATGCCTTTGAAGGAGCATCTCAAATGTCTGACCCTTCTCACCCTTCTTGGTCAGTTCAGAGAGCCCTGTACAGCCAAGATACTCAGTCTGGAGAGCACCTCCGGGAGCCTACACATGAAGCAGAGATTCTGGAAGCAAATCCTTCTCACAAGCCTATCAGGGTTATAGTAAGCATGAATGACACAGTCATTTCAGAAACTACAAAGTACTATACAGGTAAACATTCTTAGGTTTATGTCACACTCAGAAAGAAGCTTCCACACCAGGGCACAACACCCATTTGCTTTCCCCCCGTTTAATCTTACACAATGTAGTTTATCTTTTTCCTCCCTTATTCCTCCAGGCAGTATTATTTTCAATTAAGGGTATTTTGATACGGACTTCCTTGTTTTATAATTCCTTTCCCCAGTGCCATTCGCCAAGCTAGAAAGAAGCAAATGGACAGGAAACAGAGTGTGTAATACTCCCAATTCACAGTCAGACAGTTGCTTGGCAGGAAGAACTTTGTGATTGAGGATCAAGTATTGCTAAGTCTGCTATGGATGTGCAGTATTTCCAGACATACCTGAGAAAAGTAGCGCAGGATTTTCATGCTTTTTCTTTGCATGAAGTAGGATGTTCTGTGATGTATGCCTCTAACACCCAATGGACTAGACCTGAAACAGATAACTCAGATGAATTGCTAATTTCAAAATGGTTTCAAGACATATCAGTATTGTCATAGGTGATGTATAGAGGGGACTATTTTCTGAGGTCCCACATCACACCTTCCCCTTCTGTTCAGTCTTACTTCTCACAGGGTCATCACTTCATAGCCAAGAGTTTATCCATCCAGCAGAGTCACTCCAGAAATCAAATCAAGGTACCGCGTGTCAGGAACCAGAGCAGACACAGCATCAGCTACGTCTAACTGCTAACCCCCACCGCTGCCATGGACAGCAGGTTCTAGCTAGAATTTGGGGGAGTGGGTATGTCTTTGGCAAGGACGGTAATGTGCTCACTGCTTGAAGCAAAAAGACAAACCAAGAGTAGATATTATTTCCAACAGAGGAGTGCAATCGGGGAACTCAAAAGAGTGTTTTAATTCACACTGATGCTAAAATCTGGTCTTCACTTAGAGTGGATATGTGAGAATGGTTAAAATACAGAGGACAGGTGGGAAGAAAATGGGTAGGTAGTACCCTGAGAACAAAAGAAATTTAGAAGGACAGATGGACGTGATCCAAGATGATACTCAGGACACATAATTTCTACTTTAGAGTTTTCTTGTTTGCTTTAATGGTGGGGCTGTTGTTTGTTTGTGATTTTGTTTTTTGGAGTATGTTTACAGGTGCATGTGTGTGTGTGCATGTATGTTTGTGTGTGAGAGTGAAGAAGTATGTGTTTACATCTACCTTTCCATGTGCTGTCTCTAAAAAGAAAAGGAATGTTTTAACAAAATAACTCTTTCAAGCACGAGAAATTGGTATTGTTGGCCTTATTTCACCCACAAAAATCATGAAATTCCAAAGGAGTTAAACTTTCTCTAAGGACAGAAACTCGAGAGAATATACTTTGGAGAGCTTTACTGTGAATGTTTTCTAACATAAACAAAAAGAGCAGAAAGAGCAAGAGACAGAGAAAACAAAGAGACAGAGGAAAGAATCAGTCACAGTGAATTTTCAAATATCCCACCCATCATTAATAATTGTTATTTTTTTTCTTCTTCAGAAAATGTCTCCTGTAGCCAAGGCTGGCCTTGAAAACTGAACTTCTCATTTTGTCTCCTCCGAATGCTAGCATCTCAGTTATGTGCTGCCATGTCAGGTGTGTGTGATGCTTAGAATCCAACCCAAGGCTTCATGCAAGCTGGACAAGAAGTCTACCATTGGAATGACCTCCAAGCCCCACACTGCCTTTTAATTGTATTAGATTACACTTAGAAGCACTGTGACATTTTAACCGTGTATCACATTCCATCTCCAAAAGTTCAGGAATATTTACTCATAATAACAATGCCAGTTTATTCACATTAAATATTAACACAGTTATGGTACACATATCACCTTTCCAATTTTTTGGTTTTGTTTTTGATGTTTTGTTTTGTTTTTCGAGACAGGGTTTCTCTAGCCTCAAATTTTGTAAGACAAGGGTTCCTGTGCTGTCTGGGATGGCCTCGGATAATTTTTTAAAAAACAAACATCCAAATGTTTCAAAATCTGATAATACAAGAATTTATTAAAAGGTACCATTACTTATAAAATAAAATGAAGAATTTTTGAAAAGCAATGAAACACACTGAAAATCGAACCCAATAATGCCTTCCTCACCTTTGCAGACAGCACCTGTACAGAAGGCTGAAGAAACAGAGAAACACGAGGTTCTAGCTGGAGTTTGATAATGTCCAACGTGGCCTCCAGAAACCTGTTGATAAAACCAAGCTAAACTTACCGCTATTGAGGCAATAGTTACTTAACGAATGTTTGTTCATGCTGAAGGAGAAGAGCAAGGTTGAGGAAAGGCAAATAGATCTGGTATTCTAAACTCTGGTCTAACTCTGGCTGTAATGTGGAGGTAAGGGTATTTATAACAGATTAGGATTGGTTGAGAATACCAAACCCAGGTATTTGGGACCAGGGCTACAAATAAATACCTTTGATATTTTCCTTGAGAAAGCCACTGAAATAAAAGAACATCCCTGCCTTGGTGCATTTATGGTGATGGAAACGGGTAACATAGCTAACTCAGAGTCAGGCTAACTGGGGCATAGGAAGACAGCACCTTGGCTCCACCAGCCGAGCATGCTGAACATCTGGGAGGAAGTCAGTCTCTGTAGTTACTCCCTACAGTTTTATGCTGGAGAGAAGCACAGACAGGAAACCACATTCAGGTCTGTTTGCAACACAGAATCAGACACGGGTTAGTTCATTTAAGGAGGCATTTTCAGAAAAGGAGCAGTGGCTACTGCAGACACCAATTCTTTACACTAGAGGTATTCTTTCTCGAGCATTAAAAAGCAAAAAGAGAAACACTGAATTCTTTCTTTTTGTTCTTTTACTCTCCCAACAACTGCAGACACCACCCAAATGGAACCGAGCTCACTCTCCTCCCAACCCTTTCTCCTCTAAAAATGCTTGCGTTTTTTTTTTTTTTTTTTTTTTTTTTTTTTTTTTTTTTTTTTGCATCAATCCACTGCCTGCAAGTCCTACCAGGCTTCAGGTCGAACCGGAAGTGAGGGGTAAGCCTTCCAAGAGCTGATCTTACAAACTCACCTACCACTCGCTCTTCTGTCGCGGCAGAATGTTTTTTGCCAGTCACGGAAATGGCTCTCTGCCAGAACAAAAGTGCGCCTAAATAACTTCTCTGACCCAAGGGTCTTGGATTGGTCTTTTATGCAGTTAGCAGCTTGTGACGCAAACACAGCCTCCCCGCAGCCAATCACCAGCCAGTCTGAAAGCACTGGAGTCAGTTCTACTTCTCAGGTTTCTTTTGGGGGCGGGGGGGGGGGGGGGGGGGTTTAGAATTGTCTCAAACTGGGACAGGACTCTAATAGATCTGACTGGGCAGGGCTTGAAAACGCGGGAAAAGACCTGAGCTGGGCCCTTGGGAACCACCTACTTCGGGGTGGAGGCTGGAAGCTGAGCCCGGACACACCATTAGGGCTAGGGCAGAGAAGCACAGACTCTGGGTTCTGCTTTGCCATTCGCTACCGCTGAGGCAGGGGCTCCACTGAGGCTCACCGAAGGCGTGGGGAGATGAGAGTTAGGAAAACTCGGGTGGATTCCTAGGAGGCAACAACTCCAACAAGGGCAAGGTACAGACCAAATGCCCTTGTCACGAATCGACGAATTTTCAAAACGTACATCAGTTTATGTAGCTCTTTCTTGTAGTTGTTCCAAAGAGTATAGTAATTTTTTGTCTTTTTTTTTGTCTGTAAATATGTGTGTTTATTAACATGATTTTTCAGATTGCTTAATCAGGTTATTGAACTCTCTTTTGAATCATAAAAATAGGTATTAAAATTTCATCAAAACCATAAACTATTTGGATAATGAGTCTTCTTTTTTGATTGGAGATGGGAGTGGGGGAGGGGGAGGGAAATGGGAGGTGGGGAGGAGGTGGATATTTTTAATAATAAAACATTCAAAAAAGAGTATAGTAATTTTTAAATTTAAACGCTTCTTTAATATAGATGAAATTGTTTAACAACTGCATTTCCCATATCCATCTACCAAAAAACAGGAAGAATATGTGTTCGAGAATGTTTCAGTGTATCTAATATTCCCAAAATGCAAGAAGGCAGTGTCTGAGCAAGAAGAACTATGTGACTCAGAACACAGGATGACCGAGTCTACTGTGGTTATCAGTGTCAAAGTATTTATAGACACACCTCAAGAAAATATTGTATCAAGTTCTTACCAGAAATTATCTCTGATTGCTAACTTCCACAGCTGCCATGGGAAGCAGGTCCTAGGTAGGATTTTTCTTAAGTGAAAGGATTTCTTGCTAAGGAGCTGATGTGCCCAAGCCCACAGCTTGGAACAGAGATGGAATTCAAATGCAAAATCAGTTTCTTGTAAAGGAACTTGCAGTTGAGGAATTCTAAACATATTCTACTCAATTTGATGCAAAAATCTGGACCTCCTTTAAGATGGAGGAGAAGGATGGTAAACTCTAGGGAAAGAAGTAGAAAAGGAGTTGGGTAAGATGTGCAAGACGATTTGTAAAAAGCTATCAGAAAGAGCTCGAGAAAGTTTATCTAAAACAATAGTTAGGAACCTGCGTTACTATCTGAGTTTTGTTGGAAGAAATATTTTCTCTGTATCTTTCAAACAAATGAACAATTTAAACAAAATATTCAAAGTTTTAACAGTGCTGAAAACCACTAGAAAAGCAAAGACTGCTGAAAGAGGAAGAGCACCTGTGTTTAATACCTCACCCTCTTAACAAGGCCTGGGATAGGACACCAGTTACAGAATTGTCATGGAATTAAAAATAATCTCTTTAAGAATACATAATCCACAAATGAATAGAGTAGGTATATGCCATGCTATGTCGTGTTTTAAGTGCCTTTCATATAAATATCCTCACATAGTTTGTTCAGTCCTAAAAGATGGTATCAATAATCCTCCTTTACCCACTAAGAGCTGGGAATTCTAAAGAGGTTAAACTCTTACTCACAGCCACACAATACCAGAGAGTACAATTGAGAGAGCTTCCATTAAGAACACTTTCTGGTAGAGATGAAAATATGGAAGGGGGAGAGGAAATGGGGAGGAAGAGGGGCTTTGGTCCTTAAATTTCTGGTCCTCTTACCTGTCATCCCAACTGCCTGGATTAAAGGCATGTGCCACCACATTAGTGTTACCCAGCATAGGTGATCAAACCCTGGGCTTCATGAAGAAGGGTGAGCACTGTACCAGCTGAGCCACATCTCCAGTCCTGTGCTATCTGTTTACTTTGCTAGATTACAGATACAGACATCATGACTTTTAACCTTAAGACTTTCCATCTCCAAAAGCAGGGACTTTTGTCATACTAACAAAATGTAATCGAGTCACATCAACATGTTAGTACTGACATAGAAACAAGCTGCCTTCCCAGTGAGAAACCACCCCCTGTAGTTAGGGATTAATGAAGGCATATCTCTTGAATGGTGCTGATCTGGCTCTGGCTACTGCTCAAAGAAGAGCCGGTCTGGAATAGAAGATTCTATTAACTATGTACACCTGAGGCTTATGCATCCCACATACACTGTCATCCTTAAATCTCTCAGGTCCCCATGTCAAGCCAGACCTTAACACTTTAAACAGAGTAAGGAGACTGCAAGTCTGGCCACTTTTAGGCAGTTGGGAGATTTTTACTGCAAAGACATTGCCACAGTAATTTCTTTAGGGCACCAGTTCTAATTTTTTGTTCTACTTCTTCAATTTTTGTTTATTGTTTGGTTGTTTTAATAATGTTTTTCCTAGGTTCATCTTCCTCACAAGGCAGAATTACACACCTTTTAATGAGAGCACAGGGGCTTAAAGGCACCAGGACTTGAAGAGAGTTGTGTTCCCTTGAGAGACCCCATAGAGGCATGTCCTTTGATATGGGGATGGGCCTAATGGCCTATGGAAGTTAGGATTATCTCCTTTTGTTATGAGAATAGAGCCTAATTGGAGGTCAATCTTGGTGAATAAACATTAGCAGAAACTTTCTCAGCAAACGCAGTTTCAACTGTGGTACAGAATTTTCTTTCTCACAGTTTCTAACGTTGTGGTGAGCACACTACTTGCCTTTCAGTTATTTACACTGGAGGCAGTGCTCCTTTAGCTGAACTCTACTTGGTATAAGTTACTATTCCTAAGCAAGTTTATTAATAAGTTTTTCTTTTTATTTAGGTCTTTATTTATGTTTTTATTTATTTAGTTAGTTAGTTTTTATATCCTGACCACAGTTTCCCCTCCTTCCTCTCCTTTCAACCCTTCCCTAACACTGGACCTATGTCCACTCCTCCTCTTTCTCTTTAGCTAAGGGCTGGCCTTTCTAGGATATCAGCCAGCCAAGTTATGTCAAGTTGACTGAGAATAGGCACTGCCTCTCCTAGGAAGACTGGAAAAGGCAACCCTCTAGTTGGAAAGGTTCCCAATGTAGGCAACAGAGTCAGAGATAGCCCCTGTATCCACTGTTAGAAGGCCCACAAGTAGACCAAGCTACACAATTGAATCATATATGCAGAGGGTCTAGGTTAGTCCCATGCAGGCTCCCTGCTTGGCAGTTCAGGTTCTGTGAGGCCCCTGTGAGCCCAGGTGAGTTGATTCTGTGGGTTTTCTTGTTGTTTCCTTGATCCCTCTGATTCCTACAATCCTTTTCTCCACTCTTCTTCAGAATTCTCCAAACTCTGCCTGATGTTTGGCTGTGGGTCTCTGCATCTATTTCCAACTGTTGCTGGGTGAGGCCTCTGGTGCCAGATGGACTAGGCACAAGTCTTTGAGTATAGCAGAATATCATTAGGAATCATTTAATTGACTTTTTTTTCTTTTTTGCCAGTCATGTTTGGTTCTATTCTAGGTCTCTGAGATGGCTATTCAGCCTATGGGTCCTGTCCCTCCAGCAGTGTCAGGGGTGGGCTTCCTCTGATGGTATGGGTTTTTAGCTGAACCAGTTATTGGTTGACCCTTCCCACAATTTCTGTGCCACTTTTCCTCCAGCACAGCTGGTAGGAAGGACAATTGTTAGACTGAAGGTTTTGTTTCTGGGTTGCTGTCAAAATCCCTACACTGGAAGCTCTGTCTAGTGACAGGAGATGGCTGGTTCAGGCTCTGTATCCCCCATTGCTAGGAGTCTTAGCTAGGGTCACCCTCGTAGATTCCTGGGCATTCCCATTGCACTAAGTTTCTAGCTTGCCCAAGAGAAGTCCTCCACACACCCAAATTCCAGTTATCTTTCCAGTATCCTCCCTTTATCTTACACCACCTGAACCCTCCTGTTTCCACGCCCACCCCACGCCTATTCAGAGCACTCCCGCTGTCCACTGGCAATGTCTATTCCATTGTCTTCACAGTGAGATTCATGTAGCTCACTTGCCCCCAAAACCCTCCTTGATGCTTAGCTTCTCTGGGTCTGTTGATTGTAAAATGTTCATCTTTATTCTTACAGCTAATGTCCATTTATAAGTGACAACCTGCCATGTGTTTGTTTGTCTTCTGGGTCTGGGTTATCTCACTCAGGATGATCTTTTCTACTTCTATCCATTTGCCAGCAAATTTCACGATGCCATTGCTTTTAACAGATGAGTGATACCCCATTATGTAAATGTATCACATATCCTTCATTCATTCTTCATTTGAGGGACATCAAGATTGTCGAGAATATGAATATAGCTACTAGGGACGTAGTTGAGCAATGGTCTTTGTGGTATGGTGGAGCGTCCTTTGGATATATACCCAGGAATGGTATACTGGGTCTTGAGGTAGATGGAGTCTCAGTTTTCTGAGAAACTGCCATACGGATTTCCAAAGTGACTGTACAAGTTTGTACTCCCACCAGCAATGCAAGAATGCTCCCCTTGCTCCACACTCTTGCCAGCATGAGTGGACACTTGTG